GGTGATGGCTGGAGGTGAGCCCCTAGCGGAGGTTGGCGGGTCCTGCAGAGCCCAGCCGGGCCCCGCTGCCTCCGACCGAGCGTCCCGGTCCCCTTTTGCTGCTGAGCTGTGCACTTTGAAAGGATTGGAATGGCACGTACAATATAAATACTGCGTATACTTTGTCACCATTTTACCACAGTACCATTATATTATCATTATTACATGAAACAATGAAGGGAGTGTGCACTTCCTTTGTAACTTTAACTCTGGGCATAATTTTAAGTTACAGAAAAGTTGCAAGACTAGTTCCAGAAACTCCCCAATATGCTTTACCCAAATGTACCAACTGTTTACATTTGCTCCATTTTTAAAAGTCATTCCCGCTATAAATGTTCATAAGCACACAGTGAGTTTTTCCTCTGGTCCATTTGAGAGGAAGTGGAAGATAACTAAATATTTCACTGTGTATTTCTTTAGGACAAGGTCATTCTCTTACAAGTCACAGCACAAGGATCAAAATCGGGAAATTCAAGATTAACGCAATACTACTGTCTAGACCACAGTCCATACCCAGTTCTGTCAAATGATCTTCACCGCATTTTCCCCTGTCCGGGATCCTGCGCTGCCTATAGTTGTTGTGTCTCATTTTTAGTCTTAATCTGGAACAGTTCTTCAGCATTTCTTTGTTTTTCTTGACCTTGGCATTCCTGAAAAGTCCAGGCTAGTTATTTTGTAGAATGCCTCTCGAGTTCATCTGATGTCTCCTCGTGATTATAACTGGGTTACACATTTTTAGCAGAATACCGCAGAGATTACATTGTGTCCTTCTCTGTGCGTGGTATCAGGAGGCCTGTTCCAACATGGAAAACATCAGCTTTAACCACTTGATTATGGAATTGCTTGCCAGGTTTCTCCCCCACTTTTACTTTTGTAACTAATTAGTAGCTTGTGGAGAAACAAATGCTTTGAGAGTTGTAGGCCTTCCTGTCAGCAGATGCTGAGATGCAAATAGGAGTATGGTGTTGCACCCTGTCTTGCGCGTGGGAGAGAGCGGGTGCAGATGGGGCAACGTCTGGGCTGACCCAGTCGTTCCGAGGCAGAGACTGCCTATTTGGGAAATCTTGTGTTGGGCAGAAATGGCCAGACCCCAGCACCTGAGCTCAGCCAGTGTCTGGGGCCGTCAGGAAAAGTGTGCCATTGGCTAAAATACTGCCGTGGACTTGAAGCTCAAAGACAGGTGGAGCCTTGAAGGGTATCTGAGCAGCACCCTCTGTGACCTCCACACTCCAAGACGACTTGCACTCACCAACTCGAGCGTCCATTGCTGACTTTCTAACTCTCCGTATTTATTGGCATTCCCTTTAAAGAAGAGGTTTACCTTGAGGGGTACCATTTATATAGCGTTAGAAGAGTGCGCAGAGAGGTGCTATTCCAGTGAAGAAGGCAGTGGCTGAGGGCAGGCACAGGGATCAGCAAGTGCGAGGCTTGGTGTAATCAAGGTCAGTGAGCCAGAGTGGGTCCGGGGCCAATGAGCAAGCGGGAGCCTGGAGATAGAGGCTGGTCAGGATGTGTGGGCCCTGGAGGTCGAGGAGGGCCTTTAATGTCCCGTGTAGCACACGGCCCTAGGCTTCCTTACCCCGTGGCAGCCACCCTGCACCTTGGAAAGTCATAGGGCATCACTTCGGCAGGACTCGGGTGGCCAGAACAGTCAAGAGGTGGAGACCCAGACTCCAGCTCTGGACGGGGGAGCATGGAGATCGCGCTGGAAAGAGCACGGTGGTGGATGAGATCGCTGGAGCATTTGTGAACAACACAATATGCCATATTTCGTTTACACTCCACTGGGGAGAGGGAGTCACTGGGGAGACTGTGAGCAGGATAGTCAATAGGTTATAGCTACTGTTCTGAGAACAGCCCACAGGGAGTCAGGGGCTCAAACGAGAAGACCAGCTAGGCTGGGGGCCTGCCTGGTTATGGCAATGCTCCCAACAAGGCTGCTGGTGCCTGGACATAGTGGACTCAGCAGGGGAGGCGAGAGGCCGTCAGACTGTGTGTGGCTCTGGAGCAGAGCCCACAGGCTGTGCTGGAAGCTGGGTGTTGGTGTGTCCTGCAGCTTTAGAAACCATCTTTACTCTGACAACATCAGAGATGTCACCACAGCCCCCACCTTTCCCACATTCTCATCTCCTGTGCACCTGCTCTCCCCATCACGATTAAGGTTTCCCACTCACCCCACCACCTCGGGCCCAAGCCTCGCTAGGGTCAGTGTGAGGTCTCCCTTTCCCTGGCCCCCCACCTCAAACCCATCAGCAAGCACACAGGGCCCTGCCCACAGAATCCTCCCGGTGCTGCCTGCCTCCCCCACCTCCACTGCTGTGCCACCGCCATCTCACTGGCTCCTGGGCTCCCCGTCCCAGGAACAGCCCACTCTGCACGAGCTGGCTCCATGGGCCACGAGGACCATGTTACACAAGCACAAACCCCCCCCAAGGCTTCCATTGCCTCAGGAGTGACATCCAAGTGCTCCCATAATCCCTGGACAGAGGTGCTCATTTGGCATGACAGTTTTCACTTTTGAAAGAGGAAATCTGTCCTCTAAAGACATTCTTCCAGAACAATCAATGAACCGCAATGATTTTCTGTGAGAGCACATTAGAGGGGCCACTGGAGACAACTGTCCCTCTGTGTGGTTGGACCACAGGAGCGTAATTTACAGATATGACTGAGTGATAACCGTGAGTGGCTAATGCCATTGAAAAAACCATTTTTCTTTCTTAGGTTTCCTGGCGGAAACAGGCAGAAGCACTAGTGTCAACCAGGAGGTAGAAGCAGGAGCAGGAGGTGGGAGGCTCAAGCCTTCACTGGGGTTCCCACAGGAAAGATGAGGCAGGGCAGGGACACAGTCGAGGACCGGCTTGTTCGATAGTCCAGTGGGCCTGGGTGGTTCAGGGCTGGGTACTGAGAGAAGGTGGCTCGGGACGGCAGGGGCGAGAAAGACAACTGGCCACTCGTTTGGTCCTGCAGTCACTGAGCGGACGCCAACAGACAAACACTGAATCTAAGGAAACACAAGAAGAATGCTACCACGGACAGAGGAAGCCCTGAGGGTGACAGCCCCATGGTGGACAAACGGAGCCCGTCAGCTTTTGGTCAGTTCTGCTGCCACAGCTCAGTCTCTCTGCCAGAGAGGCTGGTGCTGCAGGGGTGACGCGGCCCCCGGACTCAGTGGGGCCATCTCAGGTCCAGCCAGGAACTTGTTACTGGGGTTCAAGCCACTTCTTGCTTCTCCTCCAGGAGCCTCTGCGCTGCTCTCGCCTTCCCAGCAGGCAGCTTCAGACTATAAGGTGCCTGTACCCTCTGTGAAGGCTGTGGGAGCCTGGAGCCTTCTGTTCTGCTCTGGCCCTGCAGTGAGAAGCTCAGGGCCCCTGGGGCTCTGTGCCCCCAGAAGTCCTCCTGCTCTCCTCAGAGGGCAGGCCCCAGGTCCTGGGCCACCTCACCCCACCCCGTCCTCAGGGTGGAGCTGGCCCCTCGGCTCAGCAAAAGCGCGGCAATGGGGCCGTGGCCACACTCCATGGCAAAATGCAGGGGGGTCTTGCGGAGCCAACCAGCGGCGTCGACCTCCGCGCCCCTGTCCAGGAGGTGAGTGACTATCTCCATGTGGCCTCCCCGAGCAGCGTGGTGCAGGGGTGTAAGGCCCAACGAGTCCCGAGCGTCCACCTCTGCTCCCCAAGCTGCCAGCAGCTGGACAGCGGGCAGATGTCCACCTGCAGCAGCCCTGTGGAGGGCAGAGCGGCCGTGCCTGTCCTTGAGGCTTGGGTCCGCCCCATGGTCAAGCAGCACCTCCATGTCCTGGAAAAGGAGGGCAGGAGAGGGTGGGGACTGGCCCTAGCCCAGATGGGCCACACAGCACATCTGCCCTAGATGAGTTTGGCCTTTGCCCCCTCACAGACGCTGCTTCCCCATTTGGTAATTGAAGGAACTGGCCCCTTGCCACCTGGGGCAGCTGGAGGGACTCTACCTGGAGGCTTCCGCTTGTCCTGAGCCACCTACCGCCCATTCTTGCTGCCTGGGGGCTGGCTGGACTCAAGCGCGCGCGCGCGCGCGCGCGCACACGCACACACGCGCACACACGCGCACACACGCACACACACGCGCGCGCACACACACACACACACACACACACACACACACACACTCCGGTGCTCAATAAACACTTGTTGCTGTGGGCCAGGCGTCCTCCCTGGGTTT